AGATATGTGCGACCCTGTCATCCTATAACCATATATGAAATACGTATCCCCGTTGAGCAAGGTGTCTGTGCTATTTCTGCACATTTTCAATTTGATCTGTATTCTTAAGGCATCATTTAGGATTGTCCCATAGAGGATAAAACGCACCTGATGAAAAAGCATCTAGAAATAGTTAACAAGGTTAAGGTCATACTTTTACGCGCAGAAGGCTTTACATGAAATAGTTTTGTACCATTGGTAAAATGTATTGTCAAGATATTTAACGAATACAGCGACAATATATCAGATTGTTTATAAATTATTTCAGTTCATCAACTCCGACCCGGTGATATTAAAATTGTTGCTGCTTTAGGAGATTCATTAACGGTAAGACTAAATATATATAGCTATCCAGTATTTCTAAAGTTGTTACTATTGTGCTGTTTTCTGATATGGTGAAACCTTTTGGTCGGTGTTGCTATGTATGGTCACTAACATAGCTGCTCATATGTTGAAAATTTTAAGATTACTATTTATAGAAATTCTCATGACCACACGATGATATTGTTATAAAAATGATATATTACCAATAACTTATAAAATATTTCAAGGCTGGAATGGGAATAACTGCTAAAAATATATTTAGTGTTCTAACTGAAGACAGGGGACTCGTTTTCAGGTAGGTAATCAAGCAACATCCTGTTCAGTTTACTATAACAAGATAAAGTAGAATGTAGGACGTTTTGGCCAGTGGACCTACGAACTAGGACATTTTGGAACAGGTCATTTCGTCAGAGGAATTTTCGGCCACTTTCTTTTTATAGAAAGAGGACGTTTCGGCCAGATTTAGTTATTTGTTTTCCCCTACAATTTATTTCTTTGCTGTGTGTTTTTTTTTTACTTTATTTAAATAAGTCTGAACTCGCTGTCATCTTTGTACATGTTTACGAGTTCTAGTAACTGGATGTGTCTCCAAGTTGATTGATCAATTATAAGGTGATAAAAACAGTACTGAATCGGTACTTGTGGTCCATACACTGCATGAAGAACAAGATCTACAGAGCGTTCAAAGTTTATTATAACAGTTGACGGGTCATAACAATTCTCCTCTAACAAACGAAACATTAATTCATAAGTTGTTTGAATCTTTCTTTGTAAATGTATGTACAATAATGGAACAAAAGTTCCTGATACACAACCCTGGATGACATGCAACTGCATAAAACTACTGGATGCCATTGCGTAGTTATCGTCCATGCACCAAACATCGGAATCTGCAAGTTTCTGGTGTGATGTTCCCTTTAAATCTTTTAAAAACTTAATTTACTCTCTTTCAAAACATTTTTTTCGTAACAATGATAAAAAATTGTAAAATTGGTCAAAACAACCGCTAACTGAAATATCCTAGGCCGAATTGTCCACTAGCAAAGCCGCCCTGGGCCGAACTATCTTAGGTCCAAATGTCCACTGGACGAAACGTCCGTCCAACGGTAAAGTATGACATTTCAAAATATGTCTGCTTTCCACTTACTATTCTTTATCAATAATGATTTTCCACCTTTCTCATTATTCATTTAGCTTTTTTCTAATTAATTGTTGTATCAATTTTATGAAAACATAACCAAACAAACATCAAAGATATAGTAAAATTGTTTACTTATAGGTCTGTGGAATTAATTGTAAACGCGGTTATTAGGTATTATTTCTGTTTATGGTTTCAGTATTGGTGGTGATGGTACATTTGAGGAATATGTAACGTTACCTAGTATGTATACCTATATTCATAAATGTCATGTATAATAACAGAACACAGTTTTTATGGGAAACAATCACTAGTTTTATTCTAAAAGCACGACGTTTCGACAAGTATCCTCTTATCGTTCAAGCACAATGACAGTTAGTAAACTTGACGTCAATATATATGAAATTCATAGTGAAAACATTTACATAGATAAAATAACAGTAACAAAAAGAATCAAAAGAGTAAAGGATTTTAAACAAAAAACAACAAGCACAAAAAGTTAATTTGCTTACTAAATAAACAATGATATTTTTTCTAATATTCGACTTGTGCTCACAAGCATTCAGTGGGAAGAAACTGATTCTCTTCATTTGTTCACAATCCAACATTATAAACTCTGCAGTGGAGATTTTGATAAGTTATAGGTCAAAATCACACAGCTGACGCTAACACATACATTTTGTTTGTAGACATATTAAAGCGATATAACCCGAATATCACGGGTTACTCTATTAAAACTGGTGGCATTGAAAGTGCTAATTCAAGATTTAACCTTGCAGAATCTGGAAATGTTTTCAGGTAACGTTAGACCTTCTTTTATCTTGTACATATTTTCTGTCTTTCTACACTGATATTATCAACTATAGGTGGAAAATTTATATTTTTTTATTTTTTTATTTTTTTTAAATGGGGTTTAACGTCCACTCGACACAAACTAGGTCATTTTGGGACTAACATATGGTTTAATGGAACATTTATAATAACTGTACAATTTAAGTTTATTTCACAGAATATTTATCAGTATCAAATTTAACAATGATCGGGTGGCATGCTTTAACCGTATTGGTGTAATATTTTCAGTGATTTGACAGATGAAGCTACCATGCTAATAACTAGAATACAAGCTGATATTAATATAGATATAAACAATGACTGGAAACTTATAACTATTTTAATAGGAGATAATGATTTATGCAAATATTGCAATAACGATGTAAGTGTGTCATTAGATAAATCTATTACATTCATGATTATAATATCTTGGTTTCGAATCCAGGCTTGGGTCTGATTCTCACTGCCTATAGGAACAACCTGAGCCCACCTCTGTACACGTTACATACGGGCTTAGAATCTCATGCACCTTGGCGAGGTCTTTCGGCAATTGTTTTGGCATGCGAAAGTTTTTGCCAACGCTCACGAAGTTGCTGCCGGGGTCTGCGAAATTCCACAGGCGGTCATACGATGGCTAAAGATGCCATCACGTTTGGTCCTATGTTCTTACGATCAGAGCCGAATTATCGTCCCTGGTTAGGGATGGGCATTATTGGGGCTTCATGCCACGAAGCAGGGAAATTCCCATCAACCCAAATCTGGTTGTAGGGGATTTCATCTGGACCAGTTGCAGTATCCCGAGCTCGCTTAAAGGGCTAATCCCGATAATTTTTTGGAGAATAAAACTGTTTAATTTTGTTTTAAAATCCCTTAGAGTCCTCTTCCTAAGGGCCGAACAACTAACTCAATATTTGTGATAAGTTTTCAAATATCTGAAACCCGTCAGTCTTCATCTGTTAATGAAGACCAGTGTCCCAAGCTGTATTATGCGGTGTCTAGATAAAACCAGACATTTTTTGTATAAAAATAATGTGTAGGTGACATTTGCCTTTCGTTATCAAGTACAGCATTTGGTTCATTCACTGTATAGACCTCTAAAGGAACGGCAATCGATTATCAGGTCTCCCAGCGAAAAAATTGATCCGAAATCTTAAAAGGGTTACGTGTCCGGATAAGCAGTTTTGACGGTCACGTCCAAACGACTCAAAATTTTGAGCTGAAATTTTGAGATACGGTCAATACACCATTCCTCTATATTTTGGCTCTTAAATTTCATACATACTCAGATTTTTATTTTTGAGACTCTGTTCAAATAAGGGATAGTCCCTTTAAGCTCTGCAACGGAGAAATTATCACTGTATCATTCATCATTACGGGACTTAAAGTCAAGTCGCCTTTTCCCCTATTGATGTTTTATGCTCCGAAAGGCATAAGGGGGGGTGGGGAAATTGGACGATGAATTGAATGAAAATGTACTGGCTAGCGAATTAGCGATATCAGGGAACAGTGTGACGCCCGCAAAAATATCATATTACTTTTACAGGGACATGAAGCAGAGAGGTACAAAGCTATGTTAGAGAAAACATTGAGATTACTTCAAGCTAATTTACCTAGAACTATTGTTAATCTTGTTGAAGTTCTTAATGTTGAAATAGCCAAAGATCTAAACAAAGGTCTTGCTTGCTCTATTGTACATTAGTAAGTATCGTTTATCATATAATTATGTTCTAATATCAACGAACATTACCTTTAATATCAGTTTTAATCTCTTTCATTCCTCGTGCATAATGCATATAACCAATGTATATATTTTAATATTTCCTTTGGGTCATGGTAATTGTATGTGCAGTAACTGATGTAAGCTTTCTCTTTTAGGTCGACAATAATTATTAAATTGGGTTGATGAAAAGGCAATGAAATGGGGTTTAACGTCCTACTGTTCTGCTCCGAACTGACTAACGAAGACGGGTATACGCCATACAGTGTGCTATGAGGGAAAGTTTGCCCGGACAGCGGCACTACGGCCTACTAATCTTATATCGAATTCCAATTGTCAAGGGATCTTTTACGTGCACGCCAATGTATAAACAGAGCCTCGGTTTTTCATACCATCCGAACGACTAGACAGTTGTCCTTGTCAGGCTCCCCGCCCTGCATCACTGACAAGTTGGAACCACGCCGGAAAATATGGATGAACCTTCTCGGACAATGCAGGGATCGAACACCCGACCTCCAGGATAGCGAGTTTGTGTCTTAGCCACTTAGTCACGGTGGCTCCCCCAATTAAATGGACAATTGTAACCAGTTTAGTCGTATATGTTATATGATTAATAATTTGTTATTTTGGTAAAATTTAATAATTGCAGTGCTTTGTGCCCATGTGCGGCTTTTCCAAAAACCGCCCAAGACGAGGCAGATCTTAGGAATTTGACAAATATCTACCAACAGGTGGTAAAGGGAATTGCTACCTCGGGACAGTTCGATACAAAGGATGATTTTACTGTTGTTGATCAACCTTTCTTTAGAAATACCTATCTTCCTGTTAAGGTTAGTTATTAACGTATACAACATAAATATACAGTCTACGTGAAAGGAAATGAAATGAAATGAAATGGGGTTTAACGTCCTGTCCTACTGTTTTGCTTCTAAACTGGGCTAATGAAGACGGGCATACGCCATACAGTGTGCTATGAGGGAAAGTTTGCCCGGGCTGCGGCACTATGGCCTACTCTTATATCGAATTCCAAATGCCAAGGGATTTTTTACGTGAACGCCAATGTGTACACGGCACCTCGGTTTTTCGTCCCATCCGAACGACTACACAGTTGTCCTTGTCAGGCCCTCCGTCCTGCATCGCTGACAAGGGGAAACCACATCGGAAAATCTGGATGATCGAACACCCGACCTCCAGGCTAGCAAGCCAACGTCTTACCCACTTAGCCAACGTGATCCCACTAAGTGAAGGGACAGCGAGGAAAAATAAATATAAGTTTATGTTAAGGGACAGCTAGGCAAAATATATATAAGTCTATGTTAAAGGACAGTGAGGGAAAATAATTATACGGTCTATGTTAAAGAACATCGAGTCAAAATAATTATACAGTCTATGTTAAAGAACATCGAGTCAAAATAAATGTACAGTCTATGTTAAAGGGCATCGAGGGAAAAATAGATACTTAGATCGTTCAAAGTATATATCAGTAAGCCGATATCCCGATTTACGTGATTAAATGTTCATTTAGAATATCACAATCCCAGTCCAATTCATTGCTTATACCAAGAAAGGGAATCCGTACGCAGACCTGGGGAAGAACGTTGTTTTCGGTATCCTAGTTTCGTTATCAATTCACCAGTGTTTACAGATGGCCAACCAACTATCATGTAATTTTCCGGGCGGTTTAAGGGGTGGTTGGGGAGGGGCTAACTGGGTTCCAAATTAGTTCTAAATAAGTTCGATAAGACACTCAGGGATAGGTGTCGGGATAGCCGTACATGTCCGTTTCAGTGCTATGTTGATACAAGGGCCCTTTGACTTTTACAGCTAGGGTTCCCATGCAATCAAGCTTAATCCGGCCCCGATAATGTTTACTGTTTACCTTGTACCGTACATGTCCGGTTCCGTGCTAGGCTGATACACGGTCCCGATTGACTTTTACACCTAGGAGTCACGGCCCCGATAATGTTTACCTTTTACCTTGTACATTACTAGTCTACTGTGTGAATGAATTTTATTATTACCTTTTTAACAAGATAATACCATTTGCCATTTTGTTAATGTTTAATGTTTTGTGTTGTTTTAAGGACGGGACAGATGAACCTGATTTTTCCTTTTTTTCACCGGATTGTTTTCATCTAAGTGAGAAAGGTCATAGTACAGCAGCTACAGCTCTGTGGAACAATATGGTAAAGTAATAATTATTTTTCATACTCCCACACTTCCGAACCCAATCTGATTAAAACACAGATCCTATTTCGTTTCGTTTTTTATAGTTCAAATTTTCGTGGGGGGGGGGGGGTGGATGGCCGAATGGTTAGCACGTGCGCGCTGCGCTGTATCATACGGTCTGTCATTGAGTCAACTGGCGGGGTTTCGAATCACCGGTTGTACGTGACAAGGAGTAGGGTCGCCTGTCCAACCTCGTGGGTTTTCTCCGGGTCCTCCGGTTTCCTCCCATTGCTAAAGACCCCTACGCGTAAGCGAAATATTGAAATAAAATTTAACCATGTGTTAGTCCAGAAATGACCTAGTTTGTGTCGAGTGGACGTTAAACCCCATTTCTCTCTCTCTCTCTCTCTCTCTCTCTCTCTCTCTCTCTCTCTCTCTCAAATTTTCGTTTAATTTGTTTGTACTACACTAGGATCTGGAAGAGTTGTTATATATATAACAGGCGTTCTGGATGGCGTGAGGGATAAGCCAAGGAAACCATCTGTTACGGCGACTTCTTGCCCGGAACTTTGGGTAAACCACTAGAAACGTCAACGCTGATTAATTAATCCATGTCTGACGCCATGGGGTCAAACGCCGCTCGTACGATCCCTGACGCGACCTTGGAGTACAACTGGTCAGATCTTCATGTAGTATAGGCCATCGAAAGTATCAAAAACCGAAACGAAATATAGATCTGCATTTCAATCAGATTGTTCCAAACTGATCGACCGCGGTAATCCGAGAACTTTCTTGTGCCATTGTAACAGGTGGCGTGATATTATAGTTTTGCGGGTGACGTCAAAAGTGTAAAACATGGTAAGGTACAAACAAGAATTAAACTAGATATTTTCGAAGATAGCTGCGATATGTATTTTTTCTGCCCATGGGATAAAATGTACTTTATCTTAAACATACATTATGCAAGAGCTCAATCTGCCTATTGCAAGTCTTTATTGAGGCTTCAGATGTTATAGAAATGATTAATTAGACGACAAGCTCAAAATCAACTCTGTAGACACACGGATGGCTTGGATACAGTTTGGATTTAAACAGTCGTCCATTTAAAATTAAATCAATAAATTACGGACTAAGCTAACGTTTACCAGTATCGCTGATGTCACTACCGGAAACCTGTGATGTAAGGCCTGTCAAGAGAGGCTACCATAGCCATTGAGCATGTTACTTGATAATCGAGAATATGTGGGTGAAGTTATCGTATGTCAATCAAACGATCGCCAATTCTCATAGACGGTGCAGACACAATTGATGCCTATTTCTATTTCAAACTCCCAACAGTGACAATTCTGTTCAGAACAAAGTAATTTAACTGAAATTTTCAAAATTTTCTTTTTTTATCATCTATTTTTGAATTATTATATCAAGAATGGCCAACTCTTTATAAAACTCTTAACTAATGTATCTTTAACCAATAGCAAAGAAAGGTCACTAATGGGGAAACCCTCTTAAGACACAGATAGACACAGTCTATGACATTAGTATTCCTAGAGGGCATTATTGAAAGTTATACTGACAGCAAGTCAGGTGTAAAGGACATATACCCACAGTAATTAGTAACTTTTATATTGTATTATAGGCGTTATTTAATCCACGGTGCTAATTTTATGCATTGCGATGGGGCGTGTCGTAACACTATAAAGACTATTAAGTTCTAGAATACAAGTTCTACTTTGTGTGTCGGGATCGACATGGATAAGATCTTGTGTTTCCTTGGGGCAGTTGCCTTCAGGCATATATGGAGGTCTGTCTGGTTTGCAAATAATATTTTGAGTTAACTGTAGAAAAATATGTCCATATGAGTACATTGTGGTTGATAGTAGCTCATACATTCCGAAGGGTCAGTATATCCCCTTTATAAGAAACTACGCTTTTCAGGTCATTCTGACATCATTTCAAGATGATGGAGAGATCTTAGAGTTGGTTCTCGCACTAGCCGACCAGGACAAGAGTCCTCTGACAGCATTATTGGGCGTTCGTCGAAAGCCACCCTTCTGACTGAGAGAGAGAGACCATGTAGCGTTTTAGAAAGTCTGAATAGTACTGCAATTCATGTGCGGATATAGCGTCGTCACTCAACTTATTTTATACATGATTTGCCGTTAAGAATTGTGTGCAAGTCAGGGTTGCTTTTTGTTTTTCAAATTTACTTGGATTCTTTATCAGGAGGTACCCATCGAATTGGAATTTAGCGGTATTATATAACACACTGTGATCTGCCTGCTTTTAAGCTGCCAATTCGGTAGCTGGCAACAATGTGTTTCTTTGTCATATATTTTGTGTGTAAACGTAATAGGCTATTTTAAATCCGATAAAAATAATTATACATGATCAAATTTATTTTCAGTTTCAACCTGTTGGTAAAAAGGATCTTAACTGGAAAACGGGAAATTCAATTACATGTCCTACAGAGGTATGATGATAAAACATTTTATGAACTTTACACCAATATTCTGTATGATAAAATAACTTTCCTGAAAGTAGTGACGATATGATTAGGTAAAAGGAGCTAAACCACCAACTCAATATTTTCAAAACACTAATTAGAATTCAATATTGGTCCATTTCAAACAATATTGATCTTGCTATCTTGCTGGATCCTAATCTCCATATTTAAGACACAATGAACATAGTTTTATAATCAGTACACGAGTCGTGTATTCTATGGTTACGGACTCCATTTGTACTGAACAAACACAATGCAAAAGTAATTAGTAATTCACAAACGATAAAATAATACATTTTAAAAAACGTGTAGAATGGGCTAAGCAGGCGTAAACGACCGTCGCTAAATTCGGACTGTTGACGTATTTCACCCAACATAATTGATTGAAAATTAGAATAATGTTTTAAAAAATCGGATATAAATCACGTTATATATACATATAACTTAGGGATATTTTCGTCTATTTTAAGGTTCCAGAGAATACGCCGTTTAAAAAGTGGATACCTTTCAGATAGTTTAGAGTATTTATTGATGTTTTGTTGTTTACTTTCAGCAACAACCTTATATTTACACCAGCAAGAATAGCGGCGGAAAGAAACCAAATTAAAACAAAAGCTAGCAACTGGTTTTCGCTGAAGTTATTAAAGATTCATCATTTGAAAATTTAACCTCTTCTTTTAATCATTTTATCGCTGTGGAATTTCGTTAATGAGGCACCATGTCCCTGGTTCACAAAGCATTCCCAGACTTACGTTAAGAATTTTCTTAACTTTCTGTCACTGTTTTTGGAAAAGACTTTGCACATAGTTTCTTATTGATGTATTTCATACATTAAAACAGAAGTTTTATTAAGGGCTATATTTTAGTTAACATAAGGCGAACAATTCTGAATAAATTCTTGATCTAAGTCTGAGAATGCTTTGTGAGATCGGGACCAGGTCTGAAGAAACTGAAAATTGTATTTTGTTTTACATTAATCAATTTTTATTATTTTCGTATTCGTTTCCTGTGTGTAATTGTATTTAAGGTAGTGTTTAATTGGCAGAGTAATTTTCTATAAGTTTCTTGAAAATACTCCGAAATGAGTAAAGTATTTCTATTGTCACCAGTAAAATTTCAGCCATGTGAATCAAATTATTCGAGTCAAAGCCGTATGTATAAATAATAAAAAACACCACTTTTATTCAGTGCACCTCAACATCTTAACGCAATTTTTTTTATTAAAACATTTATTTCATAGATGAGAAAGAAAAGACCAAATAAGACCAATCTGATTATAGCGCAGATCCTATTTCGTTTCATTTTTATAGTTCACAATTTTGTATTACTTGTCTTTACTACACTAAGATCTGGAGAAGTTGTTATCATTGACGTATTCTGGATGATGTGAGGGGTTAGCTAATAATAGTAATAATAATAATAATAATAATAATAACTTTATTTAACGAGGCAAAGTATTTAGTTCGCAAAAAAACTAATCTTCCATAAGTCCCTCCTAAACTACAAAGACATATATAAATGTAATGTCAGGATAAATTCAAAATCATTTGAAATGCAATAGCATTTGGGAAGTCACTCCTATAACAAAACATATACATGATACAAGTTGAATATAGGAAGAACACTATAATTACACACGAAATAAGATAGAATGCAGTTGCAAGTTAAAAACCAGCGGCTGCCAGGCAGGATACGCCCACATTTTCGAGAGATGGATAGAGAACAAGCTAAGAAGAAAGTGATTTTTCCTACAATCAAGGGCCATAATTCAGGAAATTACAATTCGATATGCGCAAATATCGAAAGGAACCGAGATCTTTGGGTTATCAACTTACATTACAAGTTTCAACAAAATCGGATAAAAATTGTGACTTCTATAGGGTCCACAACTTTGATATACCCTATTTTTACGCTATTTGAGAACGAAGGGCGGCCATTTTATCTGTCAGTTTTGGGCCGATTTTCACGAAATTTGAACTCAGTCGTCCTTAGGGTGTAACGGTGACATAATAATACGGTTTTTTAAATCGGATAAAAATTATGACCTCTATAGGGTCCACAAGCTAAAAACGCGATTTTTCATACAATCAGGGGCCATAATTCAGGAAGTTACGGTCCGATAGGCGCGAATATCGACAGGAACCAAGATCTTTGGGTTATAAACTTACATTTCAAGTTTCAACAATCAGGGGCCATAATTCAGAAAGTTACGGTCCGATATGCGCGAATATCGAGAGGAACCGAGATCTTTAGGTTATAAACTTATATTTCAAGTTTCAAATAAATCTGGTAAAAATTGTGACCTCTATAGGGTCCACAACCTTGATATACCATATTTTTACGCTATTTGAGACGAACGGCGGCCATTTTGTCTGTCAATTTTTGGCCGATTTTCACAAAATTCGAACTCAGCCATCCCTAGGGTGTAACGGTGACATAATAATACGGTTTTGTAAATCGGATAAAAATTATAGGGTCCACAAGCTAAAAACGCGATTTTTCGTACAATCAGGGGCCATAATTCATAAAGTTACGGTCCGATATGCGCGAATATCGCAAGGAACCGAGATCTTTAGGTTATAAACTTACATTTCAAGTTTTAAATAAATCGGATAAAGATTGTGACCTCTATAGGGTCCACAAGCTAAAAACGTGATTTTTCGTACAATCAGGGGCCATAATCCATGAAGTTTTGATCCAATACATGCCAATATCGAAAGCAGCCGAGATCTTTTGGGGATAAACCTATATTTCAAGTTTCGTCAAAATCGGATAAGAATTGTGACCTGTAGAGAGTCCACAAACAATTGTGGACGGACGGACGTCCAGACGGACAGGGGCGACGGCATAATACGTCCACATGAAAATGTGGACGTATAATAATAAGTATTTCAACAGTTGAATATTATGGTTTCTTCAGTGCTCAATATAAATGAGTTTTCAGTTTAATCTAAAAAATTTCAACATTTTTAAACATATTTATATCAAAAGGCAGATTGTTTCATAAAAGACATGCAGAATAATGAAGAGTAAGTTCGATGGATTCCAGTTTGCATTTTTGAGAGAGAGAGAGAGAGAGAGAGAGAGAGAGAAATGGAGTTTAACGTCCACTCGTCGGGGCTAACATGGTTTTAATTTTATTTCAATAATTCGATTGAGCGTAGGGGTCATTAGCCGTGGGAGGAAACCGGAGTACCCGGAGAAAACCCACGAGGCTGGACAGGCAACCCTATTCCTTGTTGCATTTTTGAAGAAAAAGAGATTTACTGGTCTGTGAACGGAGCAAGATATCCGTTTTGGAAACAAGAGATTTTTGTATAAAATAGGAATTTAGATAGAGTGGAGTATTAAATGTAATAATTTTGAATGATAAGACAATTTATTATAAAGAATCCTCTGTGTGAGGGTAAGCCAACCGGGTTTAGTAAATAAAGAGGTTGATGGAGTTTCAATTGGTGCACCAAGAATAATTCTTGCTGCACTCTTTTGTAATTTTAAAATAATGTCTTACCTACTTTTGGTAGCATTCGCCCAAATAATAGAGCAATAATCAAATATTGGCAGTATGTAACTGTTATAAATCAAAATTCTTGTCTCGTAAGGTAAATGGTCTTTTATCTTATTTAGGAGAAATACTTTTGATGCAAGTTTTTTTTAGACATATCTGCTATCTGTGCTCAGGCCCGTAACTAGGGGTGGGGGGGCAGGAAGGGCTGTCCCCCCCCCCCCTCCGTGAAAAAATGTTCGACCATAAAAACATAGATATACATTATCCGTCAATATCAAAGCACCCCTGAGGACATTTCCGAAACGAAATATAGATTGCAGTAAGTCGGGAAATGAAATGAAATGGGGTTTAGCGTCTTACTGTTCTGCTCCGAACTGGGCTGATGAAGGCGGGCGTACGCCATAAATTGTGCTATGAGGGAAATATTGCCTGGGCAGCGGCACTACAGCCTTCCCTTATATCGAATTCCAGCTGTCAAGGGATCTTACTAACCGGCTATCCAATTTACTAATAAAACTACAAATATATTTTCAAGCGACTATAACCCTATCATCCTAACAAATTATTATTTTAATATAATTCATGTCAGTACTTTTATGGTACCCTATGTAATTTTGATGAATGTTTAAGATTGACACACGCCAAGGATATGCTCTCGAAAGTCATCTATCTCGGACAGGGGAGAGATACCGATCAACCCCTTCCGCCGACCCCCCTCCCCCCCCCCCCCGCCTCCTTTACTACACAGAAATATCACGTTACTCTGTTTTAATACAAGCCAGTCAACAGTAAATATTATATTACATCATCAGATTACAGTAATTATAAACGTCTTTTAATGTCACTTATTTTATTAATTGTCGTTTCGATTGTAAAGTTATCATGATCAACAAATCCACTGTTTGGTTTACATAATTCCTCCCAGGTCATTAGGTCATTATACACGTATGAATTGCCACCATCACGTCTAAGAACCATATCAACTTGTTTAACCACAGATTGTCTATCATCTGTTTTATTTATAACTTTATTTGTGACGTCAACTTTACATGACGTGATACGTTTATCTTCTACGTCATACAGGTATAATCTAACACGTAATGTCGATGAAAATCTATATATACCAATTCTCCATGTAAAACCTGACACTACTAGTAGTTTACCATTAAGTACATTAGGATTAGGATACTCAGGCATATTCCTCACATTAAATATATCTTCAACCATATTCTGATTACAACTTACAATTTTACCAAGTTGATTAGTTAACAATGTTTGATCTATCTCTGCCACTTGAAATTTTGAATATCTTACATCAGGTATATCTAATGTTCTACAGAGACTTTCATCTTTCTCCTGTCGAACATGGGGTAATCTTTGTAAAACTTGAACAATGGATGAATCTTCTAAAACATTCACTGAATATTTAACACTGACTTTTAAATCTTCTGTTAGTTTTTGAATATCGTCCATGAGTTTTTTTAATTGTATATTAACATCAACATTGGCATTGTCTTTCTTCATTTTATCTTTGAGCTGATCACCAATTTTTCTCACCTCACTACAGATAATATTGACCTGTTCATCTACCTTGTCGCAAGCCGTCTTCACAGAATCATTCACCTCACAGTACTTCATGTTTAAACTTTCACTAAATTTTTCAAGTTTATCAATGTGAGTTTTTATTTCCTGATTTAATGTTTTCAGTTCTCCCCTGATTTCTTCTCGTACACTTTCAACTTGTAAATCCAAATATCCATGTCCATTATGGCCGACAACAAAACAATTAGAACAGACAGCCATTGAACAATTATTACAGAAATATTCCACTCCCTTTTTTTGATGATTAGAACAGAAATCACGTGGGCTAGTCACGGGCGATTTATCTGCCCCTAATGCTCCGTCGTTTGATAATGGTTCATTACATTTAATAACAATATGATCCTCACAGAATGTATCATGCATTGTTTTACAAGATTCGCACAAATATTTAGGACAATCTTTGCACTTAAAAACAGATACAACATTTGTACAAACATCACATTGTGGGTTATTAATTGTGGAATGGCTTGGTTTAAACGCCCCTACGCCATCCTTAGGGATGGGCATGTCGAAACGACACAAAGGACACAGAAAGTGGTCATTAGTGGCAGTTCTGTGTACATAATCTTCTAAACAGGTGAAACAGAACGAATGTTGACAATCGATAGTTTTAGGTTGATGAAAGTCATTTAAGCAAATGCTACACACTTCCTTATCTGTTTGTTCCGCCATTCTGTAAAATGTATACGATAGAAACTAGTTTTGTTTGTAAATGTAATCTGTTTGTTCAGCCATTCTGTAAAATGTATCCGACAGAAACTAGTTTTGTTTGTAAATGTAATAACAGTGAAGTATATGGACAAAATCACCAACATTCAGTTGTCCAAACAACTACTAGTTATATTTGTTCAGCAATGTTATCACATGTATGCCAGATCACAAGGTAAATCTTTTTAATGTATTAACAACGAATTAGACCTTTTTAATAACACAATAACACACATTTAGTCGTTGAATCAACTACTTGTTATTGCCCGTATCTGTTCAGCCATATTATCACATGTATGACAGCAGACCACTAAGTAAATCTCTTTAATGTAGTAACATAGAAGGCCTTTTTAAATCGACAAACATAACACACACTTTCTTCTATAACTCAGCGATCTTCACAACTTATAATAGCTACGGTAATTGTTCACATCGTCAAACTTATACACGTCCATTGTTGTCATAAACAATTGGCCATCTCACAATACAGTGACCTTCTCACATTATATACATTGCAGTGACCTTCTCACATTATATACATTGATGTATTCATCCGCACATCTTGTCTAAGCATATAAACCATATCTCTATTTCTTGTATACAGACTCGGTGTGGGTTCGGTATAACCAGTTACTGGAATTATTCCTTGATATAACACACGCTCATATATGAACAAGGGAACTAAGATTAACTCGACACGCAACAGCTTATTGAATATATGTCACCATATCTCATACACGCTGACACCAGTAGATATAATAATATAGTCTAAATATAGAACAGTTAACTATGTTAACTAGGTCACGTGTCAAGCTAACCTGTTTATATATCACATGACACGTGTTAAGTAAAACTATATACAGTATACCATTTATACCTATTAAACCGGGAGAGCCGCGATGGTTTAGTGAGTAAGACGTTTGCTCGTTAACCGGGAGGTGAGGTGTTCGATCCCTATGTTGAGTGCAGTGTACATATTGGCATACCCGTAAAAGAACCCTTGGCAGTTGTAATTCGATATATAGCAATACAATTGTCTGCGATATCACTTTGGTCGAAGCGGGCGTTAAATAAAGCTATATTTATAAATATAATAAATTTAACCCCATTTTATTTCATTTGTAAGAAGTTAAAGGACCCTAGTAGTCTCACAAAGAAATGAAACGAAATGGGGTTCAAGGTCCGACTTTCTAAATATACTGGTCGAGTGAAGGTGCTTACACACTCGGTCATCAGTATGTCGGTTCTTCGTCGTCGTCGACTTTCAACGTGAAAGATAATGTGTAAAAATGACCTCGGGTTATTTGTTTTGTTTTTTTTAATTTTGGGTACCATTTGGACGACAAGATGCCGTTTTTTTACCACGGCCCTCTGCAAGGGAATTAAATAAATAGAAGTAATTTGGCATAATCATCAAAAAACCCAAACACTGACCTAACACTAGTGGGTTAATTACATTCCGCTAATTGAGCGTTAGAACATCTTTGTCACAAGGACAACTTGAAACACAGTCGAAAAAGTTGTATTCTGTCCTAATGCCGGGGTGTGAATGAAAGCTACAGAAATGATCCGACAACATGACAGAATGAAGACGATGGTTGTTCAAGGGGTAGTGTTCCACTATACAAAGGAACTCTGCAATTTTATTTTTCTAACATGCGAAAGTTTTTGCCAACCCTCACGAAGTTGCTGTAGCAGCCTGCGAAACCCCACATGTGGTCATACGATGACCCTATGTTCTTTTTTTCAGAGCCGATTATCGTCCCGGTTTAGGGATGGGCATTATTGTGGCTTCATGCCACGAAGCAGGGAAATTCCCATCAACCCAAATCCGGTTATAAAGATCTAAAAATATTAAAACTTTAGAAAAAAGTAACTGTTTTAAAATCTTGTAGTGAATTTCGTCTGGACCAGTTGCAGTATCCCAAGCTCGCTTAAGCGAATCACGGAGCTCAGCTAAGGGAGAAATTATCAATGTAGCATTCATCATTACGGAACTTGAAGTTAAGTAGCCTTTTCCCCTGTTGATGATTAATGCCCCGAAAGGCATTAGAGGAGAAATTGGACGATGAATTGAATGAAAATGTACAGACCAGAGAATTAGCGATATCAGCCAACAGTGTGACGGACACTAAAAGATTATATTACTTTTACAGGGACATGAAGCAGAGAGGTACAAAGCTATGTTAGAGAAAACATTGAGATTACTTCAAGCTAATTTACCTAGAACTATTGTTAATCTTGTTGAAGTTCTTAATGTTGAAATAGCCAAAGATCTAAACAAAGGTCTTGATTGCTCTATTGTACATTAGTAAGTATCGTTTATCATATAATTTTGTTTTGTATCAACGAACATTACCTTTAATATCTATTTTAATCTCTTTCATTCCTCGTGTAACATAACGTATATAACCAATGTATATATTTTAATGTTTCCTTTGGGTCATGGTAATTGTATGTGCGACAATAATTATTAAATTGGGTTGATGAAAATGCAATGAAATGGGATTAAACTAAACGTCTTCCCGTTCTGCTCCGAACTGGGCTAATGAAGACGAGAAAACGCCATACAGTGTGCTATGAGGGAAATGTTGCCCGGACAGTGGCCCTACGGCCTATTACTTTTATATCGAAGTCCAACTGTCAAGGAATCGTTTAGGTGTATATATTATGTCACCATATCTCATACACGCTGACACCAGTAGATATAATAATATAGTCTAAATATAGAACAGTTAACTATGTCACGTGTCAGGCTAACCTATATACAGAGAGAGAGAGAGAGAGGGGGGGGGGGGTGTTAACGTCCACACGAAACAAACTAGGTCATTTCGGGACTAACATATGGTTTAATTTTATTTCAATAATTCGCTTGCACGTAGAGGTCTTTAGCAGTGGGAGGAAACCGGAGGACCCGGAGAAAACCTACTCCTTGTCACGTACAACCAGAGATTCGAAACCACGCCAGTTAACTCAATGACAGGCCTTATGATACAGCACACATGTGCTAACCATTCGTCCCATCCGAACTACTAGACAATTGACAAGGGGAAACCACTACGGAAAATCCTGATGAATTTCCTCGGTCGACACCGGAACGAACCCGCGTCCTCCAGGCTAGAGAGCCATCGTCTTAGTCACTTAGCTACCGTGCCCCCACCCCTCACCCCGAAAATAAACGAAGATGGCTGCGATGGCGTTATTTTCGGTTCCTAGCTCATGTGCATGATAAAATTTGAATCACGTCCGATTCCTGGCTCCTCGTGCCCAACATGTACGAATCCTGGCATCGGAATGAAATGGGGTTTTACGTCCTACTGTTCTGCTCCCAACTGGATGAACTTTCTCGGCCAATACAGGGATCGAACACTCGACCTCAAGGCTAGCGAGCCAGCGTCTTACCCACTTAGCCACCGTGAACCCCCTCCCCTTTCTGGCATCGATGCTGAGTTTAAATTTATTGAAAACTCCTCAAACGGAAAACCATGAAAACAGCTGATGATATATCCATTCATTGATTAAATTAATAGATCTGTGAACCCAGAAACCACGCGAGATTGCGATGTAACCATTTAAAGATACATTATGGGAGATTCGATAACGAGTTGGCAGTTCTCACTATAATAGTTAAAAACTAGATAATGTAAAGGCAATTTGCTGAAAATTTCATTCAAATTGATCCATTATGAAATTTCCGCCTAGCCTCGATCATCATTACTAAAGTCAGTACGATAAAAAGCATAGTCTCGATTATCCATTTAATCGTTAAATCGTGAAGGAACGGTATGCCGTAAATCGGCTCATAATCCACTAAAGATCGCAGACTAGCGATGCCATCTAGAGTTGATTATGGTCTGGATAGGTTAATTAATGTCTAATTAAAAATTTAGATAACATTTCAGGCCTAAAGAAAGACCTGCAATAGACAGATTTAGCTCTTGCATAATGTATGTTTAAGTTGAGTTATTTTGTTGAGTGTTGTATTCCGCCATGGGATGTTTTCTGTGAGTTAATATATTGCTAAACTAGGTTTATTAAAGGGGAATGCATTAGATAAAGAGTTGACAGTTCTCGCTGTAATAGTTTTAAAAAAGATAACGTAAAAAGAATGTGCTGAATATTTCAGTCAAACTGCTCAACTCTGAATATTTCATCATTACGATAAAAAAACAAAGCCTCGATTATCCATTTTTACGTTAAATTATCCATCACAAAATGTATCCATTGTTTTATTTATGGGTCACACACTGTACAATAGCATCAATACAATTTGAATGTTTGTTTACAATGCCCGGCCTTTAAGGCCTACGAGACACAACAAGCATGAAAAATCATTTACATTCGACGATAATAAATAATAAATGAACAAACATTTGAAACGTACTATGAAAAACATTTTACTATTACATGCTCTTTCATATCTACTAGCAATCAAAATAAACAGAGAGAGAGAGAGAGATGGGGTTTACCATCCACTCGACACAAACTAGGTCATTTCGGGACTAACAAATGGTTTTAACTTTATTTCAATAATTCGCTTGCGCGTAGGGGTCTTTAGCAGTGGGGGGAAACCGGAGCGCCCGGAGAAAATCAGGTCGTTTCGGGGCTAACACATGGTTCAATTTTATTTCAATAATTCGCTGCTCCTTGTCACGTACAACCGGGGAATCGAAACCACGCCAGTTGATTCAATGACAGGCTTTATGCCACAGCGCGCTTAAAAAAAACCAAATAAGTAATTAAAAACAAATAGGGATAATACAATAATAGTAATCAAAATCCTGGCATCGGAATGAAATGGGGTTTTACGTCCTCAAATATTTTATATGATAAAACATTTTGTTTTTAACAGTGGCAGCTAGGATTGCTCATTAGGGGACATTACTGGTGAGCTAGGATTGCTCTTTAGGGAACATTACTGGTGAGTTGGTGTCAATCTTAGGAAATGTGGGTTTATGGTGGCTGCGGCGTCCCATTGCTCGAGCCTCATATCAAAGTTGCATTCATATGCAGGGGCGTACATAAAGATTTTGTTTGGGGTTTGTTTAGCAAAAATGCGACCGACTGGTGCACATGTCCCTAATACGACTGACGCAGTCAGGGGTCGAACACCACATATGACAGTTTTCTAGGGGCCAGTAGCTGATCTGGAAGCTGGGAATAGGGGTGGGGTGGGGCGGTTCCAAATCTAGGGCGCCATCCACAATAACACCCCACAATGAATGTCAACAAAATACTGGCTATAACACTAGGCGTCCCGGTAGAACATAGATCGTATTGCCTATAGCTGTTATCCTATCGTTATCTCGTCGGAAAGCAGTTTTATTTAAGTTGACATAAAGTATATGTCATATAATATGATGATTGTTATTGATTTTGTACTTAAATTTATGTGAACCTTCAGTGGCTATAACACTGAGCAACCTGAGAAAATTTTGAAAAAATTGAACCAATATCCTGGCCCTTGAGGTCATTGCTGGGAGCAAATTCTTGTGAACAAGAGAACCAGAAACAGCAGTTTTTGGGACAGAATCTCGCAATCTGCCCCTGTCAATTCCGCCTGGTTTGCCAGAGTTGTCAGAACATTTGTACAGCCTGACGCCCCACGACCCACGCACCAGCGGTACTACTAACTGGGCAGTTCACTGTAACCGGGAATATGACAGTACCGGGGCAGTATAAGACCACAGAGGAGTGGAAGAATTATGCCATAATGGAATCTAGCGGCACAGGCGCGAAAGAATTTCAGATATTTAACTGACCTTTTAATTTTGGGGACTGGGCATGAAAAATTATAGTCAATTTCATGATAAATGGAATCAAATTTCGCATGTTTTGTGAGAGTAGAAATAACAATTCTACAGTCTGTCGCCCCACTCACTAGTGGTACTACTAACTGGTCGATTCACTGTAACTGAATGATAGTGATGAGATTGTATAAGACAGAGGAGTTGAAGAATAATGCCACAATAGAATTGAGTGCCGTAGGCGCGAAAAATTTTAGATTATGTAACTGAGCTTTAAATTTGTTGGGACTGGGCCTGAGGGGACTTTGTCTCACCGGGCGCTTACTTGGTCTCTGAAACACCATTTAGTGGACTTTGGGATCTGGGGAAAGTTTTTGCAGAATTCTGATGGTCAGAAAATACTTACAACATGAGTAAAATACGTTTTAATTTCTACTGGGATTAAATATTCAATAAATAAAAATTCTTAAGTTAAATAGATCGCCGTAACATTTCATAATTTAAAGATTTTTTTACCTATTTCTGAAACAAACTATGCTTCCGATAACTTCTTACCAACTGTTCGACTAATGTTATTCGTATATCATATAATTTAAGTTATCAAAATAGTTTATATAACATTTCAGGCCTAAAGAAAAACCTGCATTTGGCAGATTTAGCTCGTGCATAATGTATGTTTAAATAATTCATCTTTAATTATTACAATATTATTTTATATCATTTGTATAGCACATAAATTAGGACTTTCACTTATAATCGCGTCTTCATGATTCAGGTCAGTGCAGAACAACCAGACGTTTAACCAATATATATCATTGTAATTAAAAACAGTTTTAGTTGAGTGCATTTAGGTTGTATAAAATTAGAGATCTATTTAGAATATGGCATGTCTATTGTAACGTGTATGTCAATGAGTTTATAATATTATACCTAAATTGATTTGTATACCCTCGAATCTATTTGTATCTGCCATAAGGCTCTAGTTGAACAATCAAACAACATGGCGTAAGATGTTGTGTGCTCAGAATAAATCGAATATATTGAATTGTCACTAGCCGAAACAATATCCCTTTTCTCGTCCCACGCAAATATTAGGACTCTCATGTCTCCACTGAAGTGTTACAAGTCGGCAAACTTTGTGAAGGATCTTAAGATCCAAATAAGACGACCGTGCAAGCTGTTCAGATAATATTATCTGACGTTTAACCAATATATCATTTCAATAAAGTGTAGTTTAATGGTCGAGTGCGAGACATTAAGTAATATATTGATATATTGCACGAGTACGATAGCTCGAGGGCAATATCTATATATTACGCAATGTCTTGCACACTATCCAGCACGTGCATTTCAAGGAAATACGTCACGCGGGTCCGATATTGCAACTACTACAAATAATGTACGCTTGGCACATTGCCGGTACCATTATTTGAAATAATGGTACGCCAACATCAAAGGATGACGTCCCATCTGTATTTTAAAACAGTTTAGCTGAGTGCATTCAGGTTATTGTATTGTATTTTTGATTAACATTTAATACAAGGTTATGTGTTATTAAGGCAATTCTGACGACAAACGGGCACCTGTTTTTATGATAAATATTGACGTAAAAACTATGTGTTATTGTAGTTATTCTAGTAAATATTGACCATCATTTCACGGTTTGTAGTTATCAAACTAATGTCCACTATTCACGAATTGTAGTTATCGAATTATGGTAACTGACACCAAGTAATTAAATAAAACACGAAATATAAAGTGTCACACTTTTAAAGGAGCTAAAGCTCTAGATCATTATTAACCGCAAGATTGGAAATCAAATACACGAATTCGGGACTAACATATGGTTTATTTTTATTTCAATAATGCGGTTGCGCGTAGGGGTCTTTAGCAGTAGGAGGAAACCGGAGGACCCGGAGAAAACCCATGAGGTTGGACAGGCGACCCTACTCCTTGTCATGTACAACCGAGGAATCGAAACCGTGCCAGTTGACTCAATGACAGGCTTTATGATCTAACGCGCACGCTAACCATTCGGCCATCCAACACCCCTAAAACACGAATTAGAATTAATTATTGGTCCATTTCAATCAATATTGGTGTTACTATTTTGCAGTGAAAAGATTTGATTCTAATATCTAATATTTAAGACATAATGAACATTTTGAAATCAGAGAACACGACTCGTGTATTTTATGGATATAATTGTTTGGAGTGTCATTTGTAATGAACAAAGAAAAACATATACCAAAAGAGATTGTGGAATTAATTAAAATTGGATGTTTCAGAAACGACGTGTAGAATGGACTAAGCAGGCGCAAAGGACTGCCGTTAAATTTGGACTGTTCCAGTATTTAACCGAACATAATGAATTAGAAGTTACAATGATAAAATTGAATTTGAGTATAAATCAATTGATACATGCTCATATATACATTATTTCGTGTATTTTAAGATTCCACGGGATAGAGTTATACGCTACATAAAAAACAATTAAACAATTGTAAAACAAAACTTTTTATGAGGAAAGTGTCACGGTCGTGTGCTTTGTCCTGTATCATCAAATGGTAGGATTGGGTGGGCATTCGATGCGCGAGATAATGATATAGACATATGTGATATCAAAATTAATTCTTTCCATCAATGAAATTGAATCACAACGTGGTGTTGGGCTTCTCTCTTTAAAACGTTCAGTGTGTATGTATGCCTAAGTAATTTGGAAACGATGATGTATTGTCAACTGTCAAATATACTTAAAAGGAACCTGGCAAACCCCCCTCCTGCAAAAATCCCTGGATCTGCCCCTTTACGCCCTCTAATGAAGTTGCCCATATCTATGATTCACGCATGTACTTTTTGAGATACCTCATTTTCGACCAATATTTAACACAAACACGTGCCATTGATTTTCTTTATATTCAATATTCAATTACCCGTATTATTTCCACCATAGATATTTCTGTACAAAGTTCATTGGGTTTTTTTTCTTCCATCACTGTTTAGCGTATCGATAAATTGGCAAAGTGCTACTATAACATATATTATGACAAGTTTTGTTTATGAATAAGTCACCGGCATGTTGACGAAAGTACATTGTACCCTATAATTAAAGAGCCTTTATCCCTTCCAACAAGATGTAACGATAATTGAATTAATATAATACATTATTATACTGCAAAAAACATCCTCAAAAAACACCAAAATACATGACACATATATGGATATATAACATTTAATGTATGCTCAGTCTCAATGACAGACCTTATGATACAGCGCACACGTGCTAACTATTCGGCCTTCCACCCACCCCCTCCCCGCCCACACAAAGACCTTCAAGTTTGAATGAATGCACAATTAGAAATGTATGTATCTTCCACAAGCATTCTGCAAACATAGAACTATTTACTTTCAGAATATTTCTCTGCTTTGGTTGACCACCATTTTGAAAAATGAATGTACTATTTGATAATGTGGATCTAACCCGTTATACATATTCCATACACACACAGACTAACACAACATCTTCGATTTGATTAAATAGAAGCAGAATAAATGATTCTCAAAACTGTCGCAGTATACTTCGTTAGGAATTAAAATGTCGATGAATTAGCTTCGTGTATCTTCTCAAACGGAGCTAATTGTAAGGAGATAGACATTAATTATTGTGAATATCTCGGTGAAAAAAGTGGTGATACCTCTTTAAGTTGGATTATTGGCGATCTTCCTTGGCTTTCATGCAAATGATATTTTCAATATAATTTCTGGTTTATAACGAACTGTATGGATTACTACCTCAATGTTCCAGGGGAACGGATGGACGATAATGTTGTTATAACAAGTAAGTAAGTATAATCAGGGGACATCAATCGTAGGCATTAACGACAAAACACAAAACACGATTAATCTCATTCATTAACTACTGTTAGAGATATTTATATTTTAGAGGCATTTAGTAACTGGATAGGGTAATACACTACAACATATACTTGTAGAAAACAGCTACTCATTTAGCTTGATAACGTCGAGGGAATAGTCTTAGAAACGCAGCCCAAGTAAATTAGTAGCTGTTTTCTGTAAGTATGTCTTAGTGTTATTTGAATTTTTCAATATTATTATTGCATTATTCATTATTATATTAATACATTATTATGAATGTATTATTATTATTATTATCATTAGTGTATTATTATTATTAGTGTATTATGTATTATTAATTTAATACATTATTATGAATTATTACATATTCAATACAGTGCAGATTCCATAGCATAAAGTTTCAAATGTGCTTAGTGAGTTTAAAGAAGTGATTCAGAATGTCATAATAACACAATTTTATGGATTTACTAATTCTTGTTTTTATTACATGCAACGTTTGTTTGTTTTTTGTGTTAAACCATATCTTATTCAGGGATGTCGAATAATTCAGCCAAAGTTACTGATACTGACATTTAAAGTGATATATCCAGAAACTATAAAATATAATATCTCAAGTTGTTGCTGTCTTTATTGTACTTCGATGAAGTTAGTCAGATGCCTCATATTTCTTCCCTTGCTATATCTCTGTGGTAAGTTATTCCTCGGTTGCTATATCTTTGTGGTAAGTTGTTCTTCCGTTGCTATATCTTTGTGGTAAGTTGTTCTTCCGTTACTATATCATTATTTGTATCTGCTTTTAGGGAAAATAATTTCAACCAAGTTCAATAATTAAGAATTCCTTATACGCGGAGAAAACCCACGGGGTTGTGCAGACGACCCCTCGTGCTATTTTGGTTTGCCTCTGACTACTTCGCAAACCAGAAATTTAGTCAATTTCCTGATTCACAGTGCAATAAACGCCTACCATTTAAACTCTAATAAAAGGAGCCCCTCTCTGTCTCTCCCTCTTTCTCCCTCATTTACAGGATTATTTATCCCTGAGTATTTATTTCATGTTTGCAGCATGTGATTTTGTCAAAGTGAACGATAAAATGCCGTCCGACGCTGCCATGAGCAACTGTGAAGCTAGGGGAATGGAATTAGCGATGATGTCAACTAAACAGGAATATGAATCTATTAAAGCCCTGTACGATGTCCACAATCCGTAAGTTTCAAATTGGTATAAATCAGAAATGAAATGAAATGACAAGACTATCTCTATTGTCATGAATAAAGACGTACAGTGGGTAGACTAATGCCACGTAACAATAGCAGAGTACATTAACTCTTCCAGGGAAACCAGTCAAAGAAGCTGCAGTTTCCAGTATACCATGTTTCAACATGAGACTTGAACTAAACATGGGTGACCAAACGTTTATGTTAGGTTCCCACTATCACGATTCTCGCTACGATTGAAATCATGGTTTTAATCGTGGAGTAATCGTGGTGAACCTATCAGATCTTATCATATTGAGGTCAGTCGTAGCAATCGTGGTGATCGTATCGAAACGTCCCCGAACGTATCTGCACGTAATAGGTTGTGGACTCAATAGGGACAATCCTGTCGTAACACATTGCACAACAGTGGGAACCTAACATTACTATACCATGCGTCAATCTGTTCACATTGGAATTAAAGAAATTAAAGTTCGTCTTTCCTTATTTATTCAGATTGGTGTGATAGAAGATAACATTCGCTCAAATGTTTGTGTAAACGAAATAATAAAGTCTCTAAAAGTAATGAGCAGACTTACTGCCTTACTTTTGTACTCGTATCACAGGCATGCAATGTGCCACTTATAGTCATCAAATGCGCCACGTAACACGGTTTTCATTAATTCTCTACTTACATGTTCAGGGATATTGTTATGGACAATAAATTTACGAGATACCTCATCCAAGTTTAGAATCCTAGATACTAAAAGTTATGGCAGAAAAAAGAACATGATTGCAAAATCTGGAATTTTGTGTAATTTCTGATAAAATTTGATTGAATTTATGCGCGTTAGATCATTAGGAGCGGCATGCTTTTGGTCTTGTAAATCTAATATCTACACAGCTCGTGGCGTCTTCCTTTTGTTTTTACATGGTTCTCAAAACAATCGTTGAGTTGTCTAACGTGCATGTTTCTAAATTAGATTTATTGATCTAGCTTTCCTGGTCTGTCAATCAGCCGGAGAACGGTTGGTAAACTGGTTAAGCGGGACTCATTTCATATCAAGGGCAGATATTCTACGTTGCACTAAAAAAAATCCCCGGATTTAATGGCGGCGGAATGACCATTTTTTTCAGTCTAATTTTTGGATTATTTAAAATTCTTACAACTTGTTAAATATACCACGATCGTTTATTAAGGGATTATAAATGTGAGGTGGTAAGTTAAGACTTGTTATATATATACTTATTCTGGTATAATTGGCGAAATATTTGGAGATATAGGGAGATATTTATTTATGATGGGGCACCCTACCGTGGAGTCAGTTTCACTGAAAGTATTCGTCATGTAATCATTCTGTCAAAATATTAAGTGAAACCTCTTGGTCCACCATTAGTAATGAATGGACGTAAATTCACTCGTGTTTACAAAATAATCATTAGCCCAAGGCTCCCAGGAAGATTCTTTTATAATAAATAATGCTCGGGTCGATTTGAGCTGAAATTAATGCACCCCTTTGATGTGTCATTATTAATGTAAATTTGTTTACTAATCGCGGAACCACCTAATTCGCCAAATCGAACAAATATTCAACCAAAAATGAAATGGGGTTTAAGGTATTGGAGGGGGCGGGCGGGGTCTGGGTGGCCAAGTGGTTAACCCATGCGCTTTAGATCATACGATCTGTCATTGAATCGAGTAGTTTGGTTTGGATTTACAGCTTGTATATGACAAGGAGTAGGGTCGAGGGTTTTTTCCCGGGCCACTAAAGATGGGCATATTTCGTTACCGTTCAAATATCTTTCATATTAGTTTACGTCGCCATTTTTAGTTTCTTGTTGTTGTATGTTTAGACAAAGAAAAGGTCAATTTTTTCAAATACATCATTAATTAATTATTGTGATTAATCGAGCAATTTGTAATTTCTGGTTTTCGTACAGACATAAAGTGCTGATTGGTCTACGATGGAACTCAACTCTACAGAGTTACCAGTGGTATAATGGTAAAGTACTAGGTAATGTCAACTGGGCGTCTGGTGAACCAAGACTCCAATCGTGTGTAGCAGTACAGCCAAATGGTAAATGGTATACACTGTCGTGTTCAACAAAATTACCATATGTTTGCAGAACAGATACAGGTACACAACTTTTACACTTTTAGACCAGTGTCACACCTGTAGATCAGTATGGGATTTCACTCCGGACACGGTGTATAATTATATTTGACTGTCACACGCACCGACAGTGAGAGGTTTTGAATTTGTGGCTTAACCCTCGATTGGATAAATTCCTACCTCTGGGATCGAACGAAAAGGGTGGCTGTTGGGTCTGTGGTGTCTAAGGCACAACCTCTACGTTACCGTGTTCCACAAGCTCGGTCCCTGGACCAGTCATATTTTCTTTGTACATGATTCCACACGAGGACATCATCATTGGCCATGATTTAGACTCAGTGATCTATGCAGATGATACACAACTGTATATTGCCTATGACTACCAAACCGACTATTCTGTAGTATCTCGAATCGAGAAGTGCGTAGACGAAAATGATTAATGGATGCGAGAAAATTTACTTTCATTGAATGACGGAAAAGCAGAAGTACTATGGTTTCCTTCGCGTTTTAGTCGGGGAGGTGCAACTGATACCCAGATTGGTTATGTTCGTGTCTCAACGTGGCTCGGCTCGGCGTGGTGAATGGAATCAAGTGGAGCCATGAACACACGCATTACTAGTATGTGTCTGGCGGCGTCACAACTCCCTGTGGAGGATAGGTAAACTTAGGAAACTTCTCGATCAACCCACTACCGAACAACTGGTTCATGCATTTGTGACTTCATGGTTAGACTATTGTAATAGTTTGTTTTTCGGTCTCTATGGGTATCAACTCAAGAAATTACGGCATATTCAATATGCGACCACTCGTTTGGTAGTGCGTCACGCAGACATGAAAATCATCCTCAAAGAGCTACACTGGCTCCCAATCGAATCGCGCATAATTTTTAAACTGATCCACCATAGTGAGTCTGCACCCCTCTACCTCAACAAAGAGCTAATTTCTATCAATGTACGTTTATATCGTGTCAGACGTGCTGACTCAGTTCGACCCTGCCTCACCACTCTAAGATAAAAGCCAACTGGTGACCATGCGTTCAATGTCTAGGCACCCATTTGTGGAATAGACTGACCGTTGGCTTGGGTGCCATAGAAAATTTAAATTCTTTTAAATCTGTACTGAACAACACATCTTTTTAGAAAAGCGTATTTTAATTGAGCACCATTGTTATTCGTTTTTTTCCATAGTGCCATTCCTTTTGTTTTTGTCTCATTTTAACTATATAACTGTTGTAAAGCGTTTTGCGATTTTATGTAAAACGCGATATTAAACATATTTTATTAATATTATTAAATCTAGTCGAGGAAAGGTAGTACTCATAAAACCAAAACAGTCCGCCATAAGATATCTCTTATTGTATTATAGCAGAATTATCAGTGGGCTATATGGACGGCCATGTTGTAAAGCAATTCAGGTATAGGTTACGTGTAGTATCTATAAAGTGACATATTGTTGGGGGTCAGCTACAACATCTACATCGACGGCTCCATGTGTATCTTGTTCCGCCTTGATACGGTCACTACAAGATCTCAACTCAGCTACTGCATCTCAGATTTAACATTTCCGAAGGGCTTAATTGATGACCTTTTTGATCGGTGCCATTACTATCCCCCGTGTCATATATGTATATTTATTTATATATCGGATCACATGACCCCTGTATACTATATATAAATTATATTCCAGGTATTATCCATGGTAACCAGAATGTAAATTTCTATACAGCTCATCAACGTTGTATTGATATTGATGGTACATTACCTGTTATAATCTCTGGACAAGATGAGAATTATTATAATGATCTATCATTGTAAGTATAATTATTTATATACCATGGTTTGGATAACGTACATGTACTTGTAGACAAGTACCTGCTCCACAGAAACGGTAGCTAAATATATCGAATGTCTAAAGCACTGGGGTATGAGGATAAAGTGGGTGGGGAGAGCCCGCCGCCATCAATGTTGGGATGTGAACGTCTCGTGTTTTGTGTTATATGTATGATTGTTACCTAAGTAATGTTAATTTCCATTACTCAAATATTGCCATTTTAAAGGCTCAATACCACTCTTATTGTAACTGAATAATATATCCCAATCTTTATTCTGGTCAACAAATTGTACTATTTTACAATATTCCAATTAATTGATGATATAAATTTCATCTTAATACACCTAATTTAAAAAATTGGAAAAATTCACCTAAATGATCTGTAAAGCCTGACGTAAGCTTTTCAAATGTGACTTGGATTTTAAAATATTTTTGAACCCTCTGGACAAGTAAAATAGGATTTAATGGATAATTTACACAACAGGTAGGACACTAACAAATCTTGTACTTAGAATAAGGCTATTTTTTATTTTCTAGAGCTGTCAAGCCAGCAAGAGTGTCATTGTCCCTTTAAGTAATGTTAATTTCCATTACTCAAGTAGTGCCATTTTAAGTAATGTTAGTTTTCATTACTCATATCGTACCATTTTCACTTGGCATTAACTGTATTGCACCACTGCTCCTTTATTTCTTGTACAAAAAGGAGTGTTGCAACCTTTTGCAGCAGTGGGTCATTGATTACTGTGCGGTTTAGTCAGGGTAAAACACGCCTGTTTTTCCATTGTGTTAATATTTCAGTAATTACTACGATTTTATTGGAAAATGAATTTAAACAAATCTGTCTATTGCATGTCTTTCTTTGGACCTTAAATGTTATATTTATTATTGATTAGAAATTAACCCTTTAATGGTTGTAATTTCAGGTTATTATAACTTTGATATATATTGCAGAATATAGCTAATTTAGGAATAAAACACCATTTTCAACAACATTACGACAGATTTTCCATTAACATTTCTTATTCTTAATACTGTAGTATCTATCGCGTTCACAAGGGCGATAACACCGGAACGGAAGGCCACTGAGCACTGAATATCGATAATGTTTGTCCTCTCATGTGTTTCGTTTCTCTTTGTTTTGGCCACGAAATGATGCAACGGTTTGCAGTGTGGGGTATTCTGCTGCAATTGTTGCTCAGGAACCACACCCCGGTAATTTCTCTGCCACAAGTGATCTATTGGCCGATCACAAGCCTTTAAAGTAGAGCTTCTTCAGAGGATATGGCGGACTAGCCAAAAAGTTTTATTATGTATTAAAACATATATACAGGTATGTTTTAATACGTGTGAGTGTGAGTTAGTTGTATTTTACGCCCGCTTCCACCGAGTTGATATCGCAGACACTGTTTTAATGCAATGGAAAAACTCTTTTATAGTATCTATAAAGAGGCGAACTGTCCCAGTTCAAGCCGTTTTGTGATCTGCTCTGTGTAAAAGCTTAAAGCTATACTGTTCATTAACTGCAAACAGTTAAAGGCTGCATCTGTTCATTAGACGCCAATGTCTTGAGACTGTGTCTGTTCATTTGCGCTCTGAGAGCATTTCTCGAGAACTATAGGTGTATTGAATAAAGCTTCCCTTCGACCCTGGAGACGGAAGCCCAGTAGGGAACAACTGACCTAGGCTAGAGAAGACGGCATCGATTCTGAGAATTCATTCCCACATTATGCAAAAGTATAAACTATACGCGCCTGGTGTAAATAACGTATACATTGTCAACAATATAAATTCAACATTATTTAACAGATGAACACAATGTAATTGATGATAAAGTTGACATACAAAAGTATAATTTAGTTTGTTAAATAAGTCATAATCCATTCAAGTAAAGGGAGATAATACTCAATAATATTAGACAATGTATTATGGTACATTTCAAACAAAGTAGATTATATAATAGGGATATAAACTCACTAATAGTATGCTAAATTACAAGACATGGGTTTCTATTAAATTATAAAATTAAACATAATATATGGCAGATAGCAATATCATTATAAAACTTACAAAGAGTCTGTCAACATGTTACTATTCATTAACCCAGTTCGGAGCAAAACAGTAGGACGTTAAACCCCATTTCATTTCATTTCTGTCAACATACTATTCATACATTTATCAAATATCCAGTCTCTCACTATATATAAATACAGTGACCTAATGTAAATATAGCTGTTATTAGTCTCGACTATTTAGACGTCTTTATCACCCAATAATACATTCTACAGTAGATATCGCTTGTGTGATATATTTCATAATCTACTGCGATATCTCCTTAGGAGATATCGCTTTACATGAATTTGATTGGTCAGTTGAAAAGGAACTATTTTTTTTTTATTTTCAAAGAACAGTTCATTTCTTATTAAAAGTAACTTTTGTTTTATTAAAAATGAACTATTGTTATTCAATTGACCTTGATGGAAACACTGGGTCAATATAAAGGACTTTGCAATGGTTGAATTGCTGTCAAAAAATGATGTATCACTACGCCGTTATGTTCAGTAAAAGTGAAATATACAGCAAAGAATTATATTTATCTATTTGTGCATGTAAGAAGGGATTGGGTGATAAATAAAATCTCCTACTCGTCTTTTTTGATATCAAAAAATATCAACACTCGTTGATAAAGTAAAAAAAAACTCGGCAGAGCCTCGTTTTTTGTTACTTTATCAACTTGTGTTGATATTTTTTGATATCAAAAAAGACTGATAGGAGATTCTCTATATAGACTACAAAAAAAAACAATAGTAACTAAATGAAACTAGCTTTCCCACACATGACCCCAATAAATCAGGCACGGAAGGCTCTGGAACGTTGAATATCAGCAGGGATGGTCCTCGGATGAGCCAAATGCTTCACACCTAATTTGAGAAATAGCAAGTCAGTTTCCTGGTTTACATTTAATAATCTTAAAATGAGTTAGTACACAAATTATCTCAGTAGTGCACACGATGTCATACATTGAAAACAATTTTCTAAATAGACTAAAAAATCAATACGATAATTAATGGTGTCTTTCGTGTGCAGCGTCCTATTCATAAGACGCATCTTCATGAATTTATCTCAGTAGTGCACACGATGGCATATATTGAAAACGTTTTCAAATACACAAAAAATCAATACGATAATTAATGTGGTCTTTCGTGTGCAGCGTCTTATTCATGAAACGCATCTTCATGAATTTATCTCAGTAGTGCACACGATGGCATACATTGAAAAAAATTTTTCAAATACACAAAAAATCAATACGATAATTAATGTGGTCTTTCGTGTGCAGCGTCCCATTTATGAGACGCGCCTTCATAAAGTTATAGCTTATGAGTGATTTCACCTACAGAAGCTAATGGTTCTGTATTTGATAAAGTAAACAATAATTTATTTGGCCAATGTAATGGTTTTATTATTTAAACAATGCATAAATTATTACTCGCATTCCATTCTTTGTATTTTTGGCGACATGGGTCCGACTTGAGGAAGCTGGCATTTTGGTAAAGGGAAGTAACTGGAATTTAATTTATCAAGAACATCTAGGTACACTCTTATGGCTGATCAATTATTATTATATTACTATATTCAATTCATATTTTATGTTTTGGAACCATGTCCCAAAAAATGGGACGCTGCCCTTTAACATGACAAGTCCATAATCAACTCTGGATGCCCACGGATTGCTACGATTTTAAGTAGATTAGAACAGTTCGGTCATATATTGATTTAATTTAATATTGGATAATCGAGACTTTGTATATTATGTTAACAACGGTAGCTACACTATATGTGTTTATTTTACAGATCCAATGGCGTATGACTAGGGTTGTATAAAAATGGCGAGGTATTTAAATGGTTGACTATATGTGTTTATTTTTAGATCCAATGACGTATGGCTAGGGTTGTATAAAAATGGCGAGATATTTAAATGGTTGACTGGTGAAGAACTGTCTCAAACTTTCACATGGATGGACGAAAATAAACATCTCAGTGAAGCTCATGTCGAGCTGCCATTTAATAAGATCCATGTAGAAGTAAAAGATCACGCTTTTCTTTGCCAATCTAGAAACTTGCAAGGTAATTATTTACATCTTATTAGTGCAGTGATTCTCAACCAGTGTGCCGCAACCTATTTTGAACGGCACACTAAGAAAATGCGAAAAACCACATGATCCCAAATGAGTATTCACTGGTGTCTACTGATAAGTTCATAGCTATGTTTTTCTTTATTTAGTTTGAGTCTTTCTATGTGTCTATGACTAGTCTCTGTCTACGGTTGTATGCCGTCTTACTTTTCATGTTTTTATTTTGCAAAATTCAAATATTTTTCATATATGTAGCCAGGTGTGCCGCTATGTTTTCACGTGTTGCAAGGTGCGCCGTTGGCAAAAAAAAGTTGAAAACCACTGCATTAGTGGCTGTGACTACGACGCTGGCTCGACCGTATGTTGACCCAGAAGTTTCCTGCGTGGTTTCACCCAGTCTTAGGATGGCTCGAAACCCGTGGACAACTCGTGTACTCTTGAAGGGTTTAGCGAACCTCGACACGTTTAACAGTTTTAGCCTAAATGTGTGGCTTACAAAACACCCAGGGCCGTAACTAGCTCAGAGTAACAAGGGGACGAGAAGTGTTCTCGGGGGTGCTGTAATATTGACAGACAGTGTATATCTATTATTTTATAGTCGAAAATCTATTCACAGTGGGGCGAAACCTTTTGCAGGGGGGGGGGGGCGCAGCCTAGTTACGGGCTTGAAAACACTACGTACTTTCACGAACGGGGTGTTTTGATTTAAAATTTTGGAAAGAGCCCTCGTATTAACCTTTGAATGACGTTGCAACCCAATCACAACGGGTCCACTACTGATGCCACACCAGCGGGTCTTTCTCAGGACTATCTTTGGGCAAGTTTGTAATCATTTGATTACATAAACGTTTCTATCCTGTAACTCACTTAATCATCAATTAAACGGACCCCAAACGGAACGGTACATAGCTTAACATAAAATAAACCAATTTCCTTTGAAATAAAGTTGAAATCTTACCGCTAATTATTCGATTTGGTAAAATCCAACGGCTACACGATATATCTAGACAAGTGTATCAATTGTAGCTGTGAACAAGACAAGGCCCCGCTACCATATTGGAGCTAATCCAAGGTTGTTCAATTGATTCGATATTTGTTGTTTATTCCTTGCAATATCCGTGTAGTTTGTCGTGTTCGCAAGTATATTAATTTTCTAATGCGGAGTGGGCAGAAAATATGTTTGCGGGTCCCTGGTTAGCACTGCAAAAAGTACGCATCATATATTTAACAATAACAACGCTGATTTAATTTGATAACAGTATTAATTTCCCAAGTATGTCATTGCTTTTCAGGCGAGATTCCTGTTTCACAGACCAACCAGTTCTATCTTGTATCGGATAACGCATTAGTAATTGGAATCTATCTGAAGAAATTTATCTCTACTAGGAAGACGGGTTGTGCTAGGGAATGTTCTAAATCCATTGACTGCTATCTGTATACAAGATCTGGGGTCGAGTGCACACTATATGGGGATTTCTCCTACGTCACGGTTTCTAATGGGATACCTTTGTGGAAGAGAAATGACGATGACGTAGTAAATGATCCACCATCAGTAAACTATCAAGTCATTAAGTAATCTACGTGTATTTTATAAAGACGTTACAATGTAACTTATAGCTGAGATATTTATCTTATATTATTTATCTTTCTTTGGTTTTAATAATTTATCGTACTTTTATCTTTAATAATATTATTTATTTTACACACTTGTCTATATGGTGATGTTTTAAATGTATGCACCTTTCCTATTATGTGTTGTACCTTACCTGTCTATCCTTTTTGTATTTATATTTTTCTATTTTCATATTTGCTTTTATATCTATATTGTAAAGCTCACTGGAGCACAGTACTGTGGAAGTGGCGCTATATAAATGCATAATAATAATAATAATAATGATAATAACTAGTACTCCAAGGGCGTACTGACGTGTTTAGGTAAGTCATGTCATGTCACGTCAGGTCACGTCTTGTCACGTCAATAATCAAGTTACACCATGAACTATTGAGAATCGTAGCATCCAATACCTGTGAAAGTGGAAAACCCTGTCATTTTGAACTCTCAATAAAACCGGAAGTTATACTTCAAGACCAAACTTTTTGATATTGGTTGTTAGTAGACCTCAGGGTCACCATATCTACAAAGATCATTGAACGGTTAGGTCACCAGTTATTAGAACAAAGGTCGAAAAAAACGTCAGTCAGAGCCCATATTGGATTATTTCAAAGAATTAAAAAATGAAAACCCGACGAAGATCTGTTGATAAATAACCGAGATGGGGAAATGAAATTACTTTTTGTCCCATCCGTAAAACACTTCATGTTTGTCAAAAATAACCCAATTTATATTTAATAAATAGATCCACGGAAGTCAACCACATCTAAGTTGGCAGAATTTTTGCACTATGTATATTTTTGGATGCACAAATTAACTAAATCCCCCCCCCCCCCAAAAAAAAATAATAATAAAAACACTTACAGAAAAATACGTGTTTCGGACCTTCGTAATAATAAACAACTCGTTTTCTTTTTTTAAATTTCCAGTAGGTTGACGAAATAACATTTTCCATTTCAAAACCCGAAATGCACGCTCACTGTGCTAACAAGATTACGTTCCTATTAGAGATTTGGTAGACCGAATGGTTTAACATTTTTTTGAGCGCAAGATCATAATGTATGTGGGTGGGGGGGGGTTGGATGGCTGAATGGTTAGCACGTGCGCGCTGTACCATAAAGTCTGTCATTGAGTCAACTGGCGTGGTTTCGAATCCCCGGTTGTACGTGACAAGGAGTAGGGTCGCCTGTCGAACCTCGTGGGTTTTCTCCGGGTCCTCCGGTTTCCTCCCACTGCTAAAGACCCCTACGCGCAAGCGAATTATTGAAATAAAATTAAACCATATGTTAGTCCCGAAATGACCTGGTTTGTGTTGAGAGGACGTTAAACCCCATTTCTCTCTCTCTCTCTTTATTGTATGTGACAATCTGATTAAAACACAGATCCTATTTCGTTTCCTTTTTTATGGTTCAAAATTTCGTTTTACTTGTCTTTACTACAATAGGATCTGGAAAACTTGTTATATTACCGGCGTTCTGGTTGACGTGAGGGATTAGCCAATGAAACGGTTTGTTACGGCTTGGCGTGCGATGCACGGAACTGTGGGTAAACTACGAGGGGTGATTGATAAGTAGTGAGTCTAACACAGAAAGAAACAAGAAATTCAAATCAAATGCATTTATTTTTCAACATAGTCCCCCTTCAATGTAATCCACTTCTGCCATCGGTGTTGCAGAGGCTTCATTCCAGTTCTGTAGAAGTCTTTGTCTTGGGTGTGTACAAAATCATCCACAGTGGCAATGGCGTCATCGTCAGACGGGAAATGCCTTCCGGAAAGACATTTCTTCAGAGCAGGAAACAGATAGAAGTCTGAGGAAGCTAAATCAGGAGAGTAGGGTGGATGCTGAAGAGGTTGAAACCCACGGTCATGAATTGCTGAGATGGCAACAGCTGATTTATGCACTGGCGCATTGTCCTGGTGGAAAATCACACCTTTGGTCAGCTTTCTTCGTCTTTTGGTCTTAATTTCTTGCCTCAACTGCCTTATAAGTGCTGCATAGTATCTACCGTTAATTGTTTGACCCTTTTGGAGGTAATCCACCATGAGAACACTCTCAGAATCCCAGAATACTGAGGCCATCACCTTTCCTGCCGATGAAACAGTCTTTGCCTTCTTTGGGGTCGGTTACGTCACATGTTTCCACTGTTTTGACTGCTCTTTTGTTTCTGGCTGAAAGTGTTGGACACAAGTTTCATCCATAGTAACAATTTGTTTTAGGAAGCGGTCAGGATCAGTTTCAAATAAGGCTAGATTCTCTTCTGACATGATGTGTCTTGAACGCTTTTGATCAGGCGCCAAAAGCTTTGGCACCCATCGTGCTGAAAACTTTGTCATTTCCAAAGATTCAGTGATAAAAGAATGAACTCTCTCCTGGCTAATACCAAATAACCCAGCTATGAATCGTTCAGTAACTCGCCCGTCATTCATTATCAGATCTTGGAGTTTATGTACCATTTCAGGTATCGCCTCGATATGGTCCATTTTCTGATAATAACAGACCCTACTTGATTGTTATGACCTGTCACAACCAAACAGTTTAACCGAATGTGATGAAAGTTTGTGATAGAGCCCGAGGAACATAATAATGCACGTGCAAAACGTGGTATCATTGTGTTGAACGGTTTTCCAATTGAGGCTCACTACTTATCAATCACCCCTCGTACTAGAACGGTCAACGCTGGTTGATTAATCTAAGTCTGACGTTATAGGGTCAAAAGACGTTCGTACGACCCCTGACGCCACCCTCCAGTACAGCCGTCAGATCTTCATGTAGTGTAGGCCATCGAAAGTATATAAAACAACGAAACGAAATATAGATCTGTATTTTAATTAAATTGTGTATGTCAGTCAGTCAAGAAAGTGTCAAGGAGTTGGGTCGCCTGACCAATCTGGTGTGTTTCTATGAGTCCTTCGGTTTCCTCCAACTAGAAAAGACATTTACGATCAAGGCAATTATTGAAATAGAATTGAACCTTATGTGAGTCCCGAAAAACCTAGTTTGTGTCCATTAGGCGTTAAACCCCTACTGAATAACCGCAAGAGGGGAACACTCTTTTTTTTATCTTGCTTCTTTTGTTTATGTTTTCCCGTTTTTTATGTTTCTTTCGTATAAATTAAAATCAACCTGTTTATAATGTCATATATAATGTACTAGATGTTAAAACTATAATAAATAAAAACTACAACAACATTGTCTCATACGTGTATCGATACCATGATATTGTCTCATACCTGAATGATACAGAAAGCTAAATATAATCTGAAACAACAACATTGTCTCATACGTGTATCGATACCATGACATTGGAGCCGTGACTAAGCTTATGGTTTAAAGCAGTGCTTCTCAACTATTAGAGGTCCGTGAAATCAAAGTTGAAAAACAGATAGTAAATTACAAATCAGCATGATGTTTAATTTTAGTAGGTCATATCTTAGTCATATTAAAATGAAATGAAGAGATTTAAGGTGATATGAGGGAACGTTTTCCCGATCAGCGACGCTATAGCCTACTATTTTTGGGAATCCCAAGTGACAAGGGTTCTGTTACGTGCACGCCATCCGAATGACAAATAGGAATGTAAATATACATTGATTAGTAATTTAACAGTTGCATTACAATCGTCCCATAAAACTACCAGTTGCCTTTCTCGTTATCTACGTTTTGTCACTACCAGGGCATTATCCAAATGCCCCCACCTACCCCCCCCCTCCCCCAACCTAATGTAGTTGACTGCTTTCCCGGTTGCATGCAAATAATAAAATGTCCATTGATAATCTGGAGTTAGGCGTGAAAAATATCCTGGGGATTACTCGAAAAGACCCACCAACAAATCAAGAAAATAAAGAGAGTTAGGCCAATAAAAATAGCACATATCCGTCTTCATCTTCCCGATAGGACGTAAGGCCACGTTTAATTACTAAAGGTGTACCAAGATGAAATGGGTTTAACGTAAGGCCACGTTTAATTACTAAAGGTGTACCAAGATGAAATGGGGTTTAACGTAAGGCCACGTTAAATTACTAAAGGTGTACCAAGATGAAATGGGGTTTAACGTAAGGCCACGTTTAATTACTAAAGGTGTACCAAGATGAAATGGGTTTAACGTAAGGCCACGTTTAATTACTAAATGTGTACCAAGATAAAATGGGGTTTAACGTCCTAATGTTCTGCTTCGACTAGTATAATGAAGACGGGCAGACGCCATACAGTGTTCTATGAGGGACATTTTGCCCGGACAGCGGCGCTAAGGCCTACTCATGTCGAAATCGAACTGCCAATGGATCTTTTAGGTGTACGCCAATGTGTACACGGGACCTTGGGTTTCACTACTATCCAAACGACTAGACAGCATTCCTTGCCAGGCCCTCCGTCGTGCATAACTGACAAGGGGGAACCATGTTAGAAAACCCCGATGAATTGTCACGGTCAACATCAGGAGCGAACCCGCGACCTGGGTTGATATCAATAATATATGTGAGCTGTACAATGTAGGTATAGTTCATCGTTATGATGCTCAGAAATAAAATTGAGTATCGCACCACCTAGGTAAATGAAGATTGACTTACACCATACAGTTTGCTAGGACACAAATTGTGACCGGCCCACTCTTATTTCGAATTCAATCTGCCAAGGGTTCTTTTACGTGCATGCCAACGTGTAGATGAGACCTCGGTTTTTCGGCCCGCCCGAACTACTAGAAACTGTTGGAACTGTCTCAAGCAGAACCGGAATCGAATCGTGAACCTAGATGCATTGTCAAGCATTTTCTGTCCAATGACAGCGAACACACTCGGCAAATTTCGACACCGATTGATCCGACTGAATCATTCGGCTAGGGTGATCATTGCTTAAGGGATTGTTTACTGTGCGATATGCAGAGTGAATTAATTGTAACGTGATCGTGTTTTATAATCACAAGCACTCCTCTGACTTTAAACAGCTATATTTGTTTAAGAGATTGTGCAATTTTAACTGCACAGACGAACAAAACCCAATATCGTATTATAGTCTCGATTTCTCTTATCTATTTTTTTTTTAATTGTCAGATATCCTGTCATATAACGCTTTTCGACGGAATTACCAGTGAGCTGAAATTATATCTGGTATCAATCGTTCCTTAAATCAGTTATATAGAAGGACAACTCGTGTTTTCCATTTTTTTTTTTTGCGTCACTATTTTAAATCGCCGTT